TACAACTGAAGACTATAGCAGACTCACTGAGATTTTGAGCATGTTCTGTCAGTGTTGTGAAAAAATTCTGACTTTTCTTCAGGAGAAAAGATATTTCAACTGGTCTAAAATGTACTCCTGTTATTCTCAAAGAACAAAGACTTCTATGTAAAACAGCTTTAAAATGAGAATAGATGCATTTCTACCCTGTGTATTACTAGTGTACTAGCTTGTTGGGGTTCTCTCTCAGGAGTTCAAAACAAAAATTAAGTCCAGTAATTACATTACTGAACTTCCCAGTGTTTTTTCATAGCTGTGTAAAGCTCTGACAAAGAATATTAATCATTAATGTGTGCTTTCTTCAGTTAGTCTTTTACCTCAAAAAACTAGATTTGCTTATTGAATGTTGTGGCTTGGTTCTTCAAATAAGGCAATTTGCATGATATTTTGAGAGCTTCAGAACCTTCTGTTCTGAATTTAGTAAGTGGAATTCAAGGGAAGGGAGTTTAAAATAGTGACTCCATGAGATTAGTTTAAAGAAGAAAAATCAATATGCACATTAGAAAATGTTATAACTAATTAATGCTAGCTAAAGAGCAGGTAACTTATTACTGTTTAAATGAAATCGTGTGGGGAGTGTAATTGTCTGAGCAACCTTACTTGGCATTGTCCCTTTTGTATTTTTATTGTCATTTTTCTGGTTATTGTCAATCATTTCTACTCAAATGTGTCACTGTATTATGTTTAATAAATATACTAATTGTTGTAACTCAGTAGTGTGTATCCTGTATTCCAAGATATGCCCTGTCCTTACATGGGAGAAGGAAAGTTCAGAAAGGTAAAGTGTGTCAGCAGTGGTATTTAATATTCTGAAGAAGTGTCAGAAGACCCTTGTGGAGTTGGTCATCTCATTACTCGGACAGTGAAAGTTGGTTCATATGGAATCAGCAAAATATATTGGATTTTTAGAAATGCTGAACAGGCTTCTCTATGAATGTTTATTTGTCATATGCTAGAATTATATCCTGAATATTAACCAGTAATCATGGGATGAGAAAAGGAGTCATCCTTCTCAGGGTTCAAGTGTCACAATTCACATCTTACTTGAAAAGCCTTGATTTGACAGCTGTCTTGGTTTAGGGTAAATTTGGGAAGGAATTTTTTGAAGGGGTCTCTTTAGAAAGCAGATTTAAGTGATCCTTCCCCCAGCTGGTTCAGGAGGTAAATTTTCTCTGAGAGAAGTGGAAGAAACTGTTTATTTAATGAGCAAAGTACTCACAAACATGAAAAGAATGAATGATATTAAGCAATAAAACCTCTGTTTGCTCTGAAAAGATGGTAGATTCAGATTCAGAGTCTAAAGTTTGTTTTGTAGGCATGGCTTTTTTTGGGTTAGGAGCTGCCAAGGCAGTGTCCAAGGGGGACATGATGTGGCAGTGTTGGTCTTCTGGACAGGAGCAGCAGAGTTGAGCAGTTCCTCTGAAGAAGCCACAGTCTAGAGAAAAACCTTTTGTCTCGGCTAATGAACTGGAAGCTAGTTTAAAAGTAAAGAAAGACTCTCAGTTTTCTCTTCCTGGCTACATGGCTGCAAACTCCCAGAGCACTCTGATAGCTTTACTTTTCTCTTGCAGTCCGTGCTAGGCAGCACAGTCAATGAGAAAAGGAAATTCAGGGGAGTAAAAATGAAGCTTCTGCAGATAAATGGTGTGCATCTTTTCCCTCTGCCCTTTGCTCTCTGGCTCTCTAGGCCTAGTTTAGAGCTACAGGGCCCATTTCTGAGCAAAAATACAGACTATGAGGATACCACATCATAAAGTCACCTCAGGACAGCCCAGGGAAAGGTGGCATCAAAGCTTTAATACCAATTCAAGAAAATCAGAGAGAAAGAGATAAATTCTTCAACTGAATTCTGACCCCAGACTGATTAGGTCTCAGGACTTCTTTGCTCCAATAGGACTTTGTGGCATAAATGGAGTAATCCTTCTAACAGACTGTAATAAAAAAGTAGAATTCTTAGCAATGTACTGTGACTGATAATGAAAATAGAATAGGAGGCTGCAATAGGTCACAATATCTGTTATATCTTTAACTTTTGTAGTGACCATTCACAGGTGCTTCATTTTTAGTGCTGCTCTGTGGATTAAAGGAGTTTGCACCTTGGATATGTTTAACAGATGGGGAGTGGATTGTGCTCTGTGGAAGACTGCACATTGAGCAAGTTCTTCCTTTTCGTTTACCTTTGGCTTACCAGAAAGTGTGCCTGGTTTTTATCACAAGCAGTCACAATTATCAAATTAATATTATCATATTAGGACAAGCATTAGATATTTTTAAAAAATTGCCTTTTTTTGACTCTGGCTGTTTATAGCACTCAGTATTCCAACAGCTTAACAGCCTGATCAGGAGTTGCCCCAGGACTAGCACTTTCTTTGGAAGCTCTAGTATCCTCTTCAGCCACTGTTAGACCAAAGTACTTGATATTACTATTTGCATTTATATCATGATGTTCTTCTTACCCTATCATATTCTCCCTCAAGGATTATCATGAGTGCTTTTCTTTCCTATTAAAGTATGGGAAATAAATATATTTCCACTACATTGCTATTCTGAAAATAAAGAGTTGGTTCTATCCTAAACGTATGGGGATTGCACTCAAGGTTAAGCCTGTAATTATTTTTCCTTTGCTGCTGATACCAGAATCCTTTTAGATTTTTTGTTTGTTTGTTTTCACTATATGTCCAATCACAAGTGGGGTTCAAACGCTATCTCTTAGGGGCTTGTCCTTGTTCTTTTCAGAGAACTGAAAACATTCAGTGTCTCTCACTATTTCTGGCCTTCTTAAGAAGACAAGGAATTCATGTTTATTCATATCTAGGCAGGTCAGATGCAACTTCCAGTCATAAACTAAGGGAAATAACTGTGTAAATCTGATCAGTGCTTCAGGTGAAAATAACCTGGTACTGATCTAGGCAGAAACCAGATTTATTCTATTTCCTGTAGCCAGCAGTAGCCTTTACATGACAAATCAAGTCACTTTGGGAGGTTCTCTGTATATATCATGTTCTTCAGTACTAACCTGTGTGGATGTATGTGGTGGTGTTAGGTGGTGTGTGTTAGATTTCACCTCTGGCTGTTACACAAGATATTCTGTGCAAGCATCTCTTGCCCCTCTGTAGTCATGTGAACCAAGTAGTCATTGTCCCATGCTGGGCTGTGTGTCAACTCACTCAGTAGCTGGGTACTTGAGGCTTCAGAGAGAGTGTTCTTCCTATCCCCATTGGTGGTGCCTGTTATGTTATGGATGCTACAGAAATCATTAAAACCCATTCAAATATCTCTGAACCATGTTATCCCTGAGGAATTTCTAAATTTTAAGTGAATGCTTCAATACTGAGGACTAGTATTTATACAATCTTAAATATTGTATTCTGCTCTAAAGAATTCTGGTTGACTGTTACACTCTTTAAATAAGGTGGAAAAAGGGTATTTCCTTTAATTTCACAGTTGTATGAAGACAGTGAATTTTGGAAAATGGCAGCATCTGATTATATTTTGTCCGATTCCTGTTACTAAGAGGGCTGGCATTCAGTCATATTGCCATATTGTGGCTAGAAGTCATCTCTGTGTCAGATTCAGTTTATTATATGTATTTTCTAAGTCTGTATACTACTAATTTTTAAAACAAACGTAATATGACTTTGTTGTTCAAGAAACTGCACTTCTTACCTATGTTGGAATAGTTTCTTTTGCTTTAATATCAAGCCAGTAATCCAGATTTCCTTAGATCAAGAAAGCCAGTGAGATAATGGACTTACGCTGTCAAGCTGAATTCTTCGTTCATTGATTCAGTCTTGGAATTATGTTTGATCCCTTCCCTGGTGATTCTGTTCTGGTGATCAACTACCTTCTCAGTGAAGAGTCTTTTCTTAATGTCCTACCTGAACTTTCCCTGGTGCAGATTCATGCCATTCCCTCATGTCCTATCACCAGTCACCAGAAAGAGGAGAGAGGAGATCAGCACCTCTCCCTCCACTGCCTCCCTTGAGGAAGGTGTAGACTTTGTGGAGGTCACCCCTTCTCTTCTCCCAGCTGAACAAACCAAGTGACCTCAGCTGCCTCTTGTACAACATCTTGCCCTTGAGACCTTTCACCATCTTGGTCCCCTCCTCTGGACTCACTCTGACAGTTTGATGTGCTTCTTCCACTAAGGCACCCAAACCAGCTCAGAGCACTCGAGGTGAGGCTGCACCAGGGCAGAGCAGAGCAGGAGTCACTTCCCAGTCACTTCCCTCACCTGGCTCACTGTGCTCTGCTGATGCACCCCGGGGTACAGCTGGCCCTTTCAGCTGCCAGGGCACACTGCTGACTCGCCTTCAGCTTGCCATCAACCCAAACCAGACCTCTTTCCCCAGGGCAGCTCTTGCTTCTTTTCCCCCCATTTATACTTCTAACCAGGGTGACCCCATCCTGAGCAGAGAATCATGCAAAACAACAATCTCAAAAAAGCTTTGGGATGTTAGTTTGTTCAAGTCTAGTCCTAAGTTTATTTTTCATTCAAAAGTTCCTTCCTGGCTTGATGTTGATTCTAATCAGATTGTAAGAGAAGTGACAATTCTGTAAGTGCCATAAAACAACTTCTTAATTAGCTAATTGTAGTTTTCTGAATGCTGATATAGTTCAAAGGTTATTAGGGAGACATTAATTGGCAATTAACTGAACTATATTTCTGTGTAAGATTTTGCCTATTTCAGCTTTTAAGAAAAAGAATACATTTGTTAAACTAGGTAATTTTTCTTAGTATCAGTCAGTAATTTGGGGTCTTGTGCTGTTTTAATAACAAATTACATTAAACTAACAGGTAGGTAATACTTCAGAAAAATTACTGGATTTAATATTTTTTTTGTGGCTTCTCTTAACATTAGGTGGATTTTTGTCCACCTAATGTAAATGTGTAAAGTTTATTTGTGCATTTCACTTATTGAAATGACTAATAAAAGGTACAAACAATTTTTATTTTACAGGTCAACAGCAAGGACAGGATGGAGTGAAAGTACAGCAAGCCACAATAGCTCCTGTAACCGTAGCAGTAGGTGGCATTGCTAATGCAGCAATTGGTGCTGTTAGTCCCGATCAGATAACACAAGTGCAGCTTCAACAAGCTCAACAAGCTTCTGACCAGGAAGTGCAGCCTGGCAAGAGACTGAGAAGAGTTGCCTGCTCATGTCCTAACTGCAGAGAGGGAGAAGGAAGGTAAATGTAACTTTTATCAGTATATATTTAAGCATCTTATCACAGCTTGCCTCATTTGGGAATGAGATTGTCCTATATTGCCTAGATTTTGAATGCTTTCTATTAGAAAGTACATTTGTGTGGGCTTTTTTAGACGGGGATTAAAATTGCCGCTATTAGCATGAAATGTTTCTCCTAATAGCTGGTAATGTTTTAGAATATAACTACTTAGCTGTTTAAATATGATCTTTTTAGAGGCAGCAATGAGCCAGGAAAAAAGAAACAGCATATCTGCCATATTGAAGGCTGTGGAAAAGTTTATGGCAAGACATCTCATCTTCGGGCACATCTGCGCTGGCACACCGGTGAAAGACCATTTGTGTGCAACTGGATCTTTTGTGGCAAGCGATTCACAAGGAGTGATGAGTTACAAAGGCATAGAAGAACCCACACAGGTTGGTCATCACTCTGTGTAGCCATAGTACAGCAAGTCTGATTTGTAGTGGCCTTAGTTAAACAATGGTATCAAAGTTCTCACTTACTAAGTTAGCTGAAAATTACCCTTAAATGTGAAAAAAGTAACTATAAAATAAGGAAGTGGTAGATTCCAGTTTTCATAAATTTAGGCTGACTGTGAAATCATATAAATAAAAAGTGATCTGTTCCAGTTGTTCTTTTGTATGTAGACTAGAAAGAGAGGACTATTTCATCATAGATAGCTGATGTACATTAGCTAGTGCCTTATCTAAATGTAACAAATTTAGATCAGGCACATAGGATTGACCATCGACCAGGGTTATTGTTTCCTCACTTGGATTAGCTCAGTCCTTAAGAAATTTATTAACCTAGTCCGTACACTGGATTTGGTCTTCTTGGGAAATTTCCTAGTTTCAAGTGGGAACTGATAAAGTGAAGTCTCTTAACAGTTCAGAATGGAAGAGCTGGTGTTTTAAAAGCTGAAAAATTTTATCAGCCTTCATATTTTTATCCCCAGGAGAGTATCTCCCCCTCCTGTCCCTTCTCCCCAAACTTAGAGCACCTCATGTCTAAGCACTAATTACTTTTGATCAGTAACAGGACCTTTTGGTAAACTGAATTTGTCTCTCTTGGTGTAGATTTCACACATCTTCTTGGAGCATTGGAATTTGTGTTTCTGAGTTTGTTTCCCATTGGTGTAATCTAAATTTAAAAAGCATTATTATAAAGTTGTTCTTTGAGTGCTTTTACCTCCCTTGCTCTGGTAGATTTATAGAAGTTTATGAAAATTCTCTGGTGTCCTGAAATTCAAACTTCTTGTCAGATGATCACAGCATAGCAAATACTTGTTGAGAATATTTCAGTAGTGGGGAGTAGGTGGCCAAAAGCCTGTGACTGAACAGAACACACCTGGAAATGAGACAGGTGGAAAAGGTTTCCTTAAAAAAGACACTTTGAGTGTTGAATAGAATAGGGTGAGATTCAGATGATCAAGCAGTGTTCAGTGCTCTCTTTCAGTAACATGTTGGTTTTCTTTTTCTTTTTGAAAAGGTGAAAAGAGATTTGAATGCCCAGAATGTTCTAAAAGGTTTATGCGAAGTGACCATCTCTCGAAACATGTCAAAACTCATCAAAACAAGAAGGGTGGTGGAACAGCCCTTGCTATTGTTACCTCAGGAGAACTGGACTCTTCAGTTACTGAGGTTCTTGGTTCTCCAAGAATTGTCACTGTTGCTGCCATTTCTCAAGATTCAAACCCAGCAACCCCTAATGTTTCAACAAACATGGAAGAATTCTGAAAGGATCATTTATATGGACACCTAGTGCTGCACTTAAGTTTACATACCTTTCAGGATATGGAAGTGGGCTGGTAAAGTGGATTACAGAGCAGGAAATCTTTTTTTCAGTCATGACTTCTGTAAGTGTTCCAGGTTGGAAGGTCAGCAAGGGAAGTGTACACCGGTGCAACAAGACAAAAATTTCAAAAATACAAACAGCGCAAATTGATGACTGGATAAACAGATAGAGGAATAATATTTCCATACTGTACTTTTTTAGTTATATATCTGTATATTCTGTAATGATTTTAAGTGAACTTTACCCCCCTATTTTACCACTGTATGTTAATGTGTTTATAAAATCTGATAGTATCAATGTAAAACTGGGTGGACCTTGACTAGGATTAATACCGTTTGATGAAGGCACTTTGTTTTTAACATAAATTTGTAGTATTTTAATGAGAGCATCCTTTTCCCATAAGACGCAGCAAAACAGAACACAGGATGAACAACAGTGGACATATTTTGGGATTTTGCTCAGTCCATACAACACATCGGTTAATTTTGGCCATCTTTTCTCAAATTTTGGAATTACTCAAATAGCAGCTGAGTGATGCATGCTGCAAAGTGATTCTGAGGTGGGCCTCAGATTAATTTCAACTACTACATTATAGTAGTGTGTATAAATGACAATCAGTGAGTTCTAATTCCTCTCTTCATGTGGAGAGCTAGGCTATGTAGAATTAGTGTAAACAGTAGGAAAGATAAAACCATAGAAAGATATTAACATATGATTTACAAAAGTAATGGTATCTTTATGTAGAACAAAAGAAAATTGTGTCAATTTTTGGTAATTAGTTTCATTTTATATTTCCCTGCCCATCTGCCCATGGCAAGGAGGTTGGAACTAGATCTTTAAGGTCCGTTCCAACCCAAACCATTCTGTGGTTCTATGATTCTGTATTTTAAAACATCTGTGGCCCATTTCTAACTCATAGATAACTTGAATCTTAAAAACTCGAGCTTAGGTGTTTGATTGTTTTAATTTTGTTAGAATTCATGGAAATCAATCTGACAACTGAGTGTTATCCAGTATCTCCTCTGTAAATACTAGTTTGTTATGTTGTGGTTAATGTGCTGAGTTCTTTGTGCTTTGACTTAATAGCCAAAGAAAAAAATTAATTATCACATTTTAATAAGGAAAGAAGTAAGTAAACATTTTCTCTTTCCCCTCACATATTACCACCATTTTTCAAGGATAGTATATAGGCTGTTAATAAATATCTGTTACCTATCAAGTCTTATATTGATCCTCCAACCAAAAAACAAACTGGGAAAAGAGAAATATTATAATCTTTTTGGGACATAACTTTTGGTTTCAAAGGTTTGGTTAAATTTTCAGATGTGACAGTGAATATAGAGGAAATATTAAAAAAAAAAAAGAAAAAACAATAACAAAAATTGCATTTTCTGTGTGAAAATTAGTAGTAGGTACAAGGAGGAAAGATGGCCAAATATTTCATACTCAGGATTTTTAATTACTTCCCCTAGGCATAAATACAACCTTTTACATCTACAGTCACTTGTTAATAAATTCTCATGACCAGTTTTTAAGGAGATTTATATACCAAAATATTTTAATGTAACTGAAGGAAGTACAGTGCAAGAAGAATAAGATGTTCTTCTTTCCCCTACAGATTATGAAAGGAAGAATGTATGTGGTAACTGTTGGTTTGTAAGACGTAACAGGTACCCTGTGCATTCCCTAAAGATCATATACTTCTCATCTGAACAACAATTTATCAATCTTGTGGTGTTTTCTGTATTTTTGAAGCAAAAGAAATGCCATTGTTTACACTGTGTACACTTTAGGCCAGCCCTTTGTAGCAAAATACTAAGCTGAGGGTATTTTATACTTTCAGTTTACATAAAAAGCTTTGAGATTAAAGAAAAACAATTTTACACTGTGGTTATAAATTTCAAGTTTCTTAAAGCTTTTTTAGACTTGTAACAGAGTCTTTAAATTTTAGTTGGGTTTTGTACATTATTTTGTATATTTTATTTAAAGTACTCTTAACTGATGTATCTGGATTTAAAACATCAGAAGCAATTAGGTGTTACATTTAATACAGATGAACATTAGGTAGTATTAACTGTTAATTTTATTATAAAGGAATTGAAACGTCAAAGATATATTTTATCATTATGCTTCACAATCAGTGCTCTACATTACTGTATGCAAAGAAGAACTTTCCTAATGTTAATATCATATTTCCTAAAAGTTAACAGTTTTGTAAACTGAAGTTACAAGCATTCTGCACAACCATTTCATATGTAATTTTTTCATGCATACTTATGTATGCAGATAGGAAACTGAAGTAATTTTTAATCTGCAATGAATCCCTGTTATAGATGTGTCCAAATCTAAATCTGGTTGGCTTCATAGCATCTCAAGTACATTAACTTGTGTTAGCAGGTGCACATTTTACCGCTGGAATTAGAAACATTCTGCCAGTCTGTTCTGCATACCATTCTGAATCCACTTTTCTGTCTTAAAAGGATCGTAAATTTCAATGTCCTTTATTTGACTCAGTGGGATATAGCTGTTGTAAGTAATAGGGCACAGATGTGCAGTAGTATCTTGTTTAATGGCATTTCACTTTTCATTCCCTTTGCCACCATTAAAAATTTTGCTTTATTGTAATTATCAGTGCAAAGTGTATTTACCATGGTAGAACTCCAGTGTTAGAATAGTTTTTTTCTTACAATATACTTTCTTTGGTTAGGTTTGTGTATGTATTGCCGATTACATTAGCAATTGGTGTTAAGTCATTATTTATCACATTCTTTCACGAGAGCAGTAATAAAAGTGTGTAATCTAGGAGAAAAAGTTAATTTGTCAAAGTTAAGTAAGCATGATGTTTAGGTCCTATTTTTCAATTTTATAACTGTTTTATTGCAACAATATTTGTATTTAAGTCTTCATTTTAATGCCTTGTGGTGTTTTTTTATGCATGTCACTGAATTGTCATCCCGCAAGAATTGATGTGCAGCATAGGGTATTAAATCTACATAATGATTTTGAAACAGAAAAATAGTTGATGGTAAAAATGTAAATGTTTTGCAAAAATTCCTTATAAAAAAAAAAAAGTTTTGTAGTAATATTTCACTTGTAAATTTTTCTAAAAAAATGGAAAAGGAAAAAAATGAGAGTAATGCTCCCCACATCTAGAATTTAGAAATTAATTCTGCCAGCAAAGCCTGTAAGGCATTAATCTGACACTTTTACAATGCTGATTTGTATAATTTTTTGGTGGGTTTGGAACTAAAATCATGTACAAGTTGTTGCCTGCAATAACATTTTGCAAGTAACCTATTAAAATTCCCTTGAGTTTAAAAGGTTTCTTCATTTAATTGCTTACAATATAAAGCAGCAATAAATAATGTTTGTATGATAATCTGTTCATCAAGAAGAACACATAGAAAACAAATGCTTCTCAATGGGGAAAGGTTGGCAGCAGCTTCTGGATTTGTGTAATTAAGACCTGTACTTGCTGGTCAGCGTTTCCCAACTGGCAGACTCCCAGCAGGGAATTAAACCAGCAGATTCTAGCTCAGCATGAATTCTGTGGGGTTTGTTCAGCTCTTGCAAATGGAAGCTGCGGTTGTTCCTGAACGCACCAAAGGAATAACCACAGGGAAAAATTTCCTAAGGTAAGGAATATGTGCATACACACACACACACACAGATAAAATACAAATTTAGAAAATTGAAGATAATTCAGTTTGATAGAGATAAATAATCAAAGTGTCACTGTGTTGCACACAGGGAATGAATATAACAAATAGGTGGAAACCTGAAAGTACTGACTTCAACTCATAGAAAATATATTGAGCTTTCCTTAGTGAAATGTTGTCAGGCTCCTGCATTGTGTTATACTAAAATAACTTTCATGGTATGCCAAATTGCTAATGATAATGTTATACTCTTTTTTTTTAATGCTAAAAATTTTAATGTACTTTACTGTACTTTTGCAGTAAATAAGTAATGCTGTTTCACAAAGGAAGAAATACATAGAGAATCACATAATCATTTAGGTTGGAAAAGACCTTTAACATCATTGAGCTCAAATGAAAAGCTAACACTGCAAATCCCACCACTAAAACAAGTCCCTGACCACCACATATACACAAAAGAGGGCCACTTCCTTCCATTTTCCAAAAGATGAATTTATAATTTGAGACTTCTAACCTTGTACTGCAAAACAGAATAATCTTTCCTGAGATATAAATATATTATCTTTATTATGTGTTTGATTAAATACCTGTGAAAGTCTCAGTAACTTCTATTTGAATGTCAAACTTCTGAAGTCAATCTATGTTGTAATTCAAAGTAAATGGACGTCTGACCAACTAATATGTCTTTATTGACCAATTGTCTTTATTGACCAATTTTTTAGTATTGTGGCAGTGGTATGTTTTGAAGCAAATTCTACATTACTGGCGAGAGTAGTCCTCTTCTTACACCATTTCAAATATACAGTATCAGAAAATAACAAACTCTTACATAAGGATGAATGTACATGTTACATTTTACCCTTTTAGTCCTTCAAATGTGATCGTTCTACTCTGGGAATCATGAGGTGTGATACCAAACTGAGTATTTCTGTCCACAACTGTAAATTCCCTACCATTGCTAAAATTATCTAAAGTTACATTTTATATTTTTTCCATTAGCTTTATTTTCTGTCCAGCTAGGTAGCAAATATCAGGATGAATTCATATTGAACTTCCTAATGCCTTCTGTGTCCCTGCTTCCCATTCCTTTTCCTTTCCCCAAAGCTATTTGCATCATTTCCTGATATCCTGAGATTTGACAATGAAAATGGAGGTGCTGTGGGGACCTGGAGCTGGCATGTGCTATCTTTGCTTGCTAGAATACCTTCCATGGAGAGAGGCAGCGAGATACCTTTTCTAGAACAGCCTCACTAAACATGACCAGAAGTTATCACAAGCAGGTGGATTGGTGCTGTGCCCAACTACTGTTGATATAGTGATGGGCATTTTTCTGTACAGTTTAATGTGGTTTGTTGGATGGTTTTCATAGCAAGTACCAAAAATTGCCTACTTCTAAATTTCCAGGTCAAGGAACATAGGCATTTCTTTGACTTACATGAGCAGCAGTGTGCAATATAAGATTCATAATGTACAAATTCAAAGTTCTATCTATAATTTCTACTTCTGTGTATGGAAAATACCTAGCCTTGAGCTTTTAATAATTTCTTACAACAATATTTTAGCACAACCCTTTAAAAATAAATGCTTCAACCTTTATAGTTTGTCCTAGGAAGGAGAAACTGTTCTTAATTGAGCATATTGGAGGCCATAAATAGTCAGAGATTTCTTTATCAGGTACATATTTTACAGCATTTCTGGAATTTGTCACTTTCTCTCTTGCATCTGTTCCTTCATGCATCTGTGCTGTATCCTGGCCTGGCCTAGGTTGCCATTAAGACCTCTCTCATTGCCTTTTCAAATGCTATGGCTTTTTATTTTAATAACCTTTTGCTTCTTGCTAAACACATTGCAGAAACACATAGACCAGACAAAAGAAGTACTCTCCCTTAAATATTTGTATTGGAAAACTCCTTTGGAAAGTATTTCAGTTGAATGAGACTCTGTTCCATCCCCACATATTATGGAAGCTTAGTCCAAGCTACAGTTTAAAATAAAAGTTTGCAGGGCAGGGAGTGTTTATCAAAAAGTGTTTGTGCTGCTGATCTAAAATTCTGTTAAGCATTTATTTTTATGTTGCTTTTAGTTGAATGCATAACTTTGTGTTACTTGTATGTACTTTAAAGGAAAGTCTTGGACCAAATTCAAGGAAGAACCCAATCTTAAAGCTGGCTGACCTTTTGGTGTTGACACATTTGTCAAAGTTCTGAAAGATTCTTAAAACTACTGAAAGCAAGTAGCAAGAGAAGCATTCTCTGCATAGACTTGGACACATCCAGATTTTTTTTAAAAGTAAGTGAATTAATAAGGTGTAGATTTACTTTCACAGCTCAATTTCCTAACTTAAATTGATGCTGATATGCGTGTCTGCTAAGTGGACATGTACATCTTTCAGGACTTAAAGATTCTTGAGTTTGTACATCAACAAGTATATAAAGCACTATCCACTTGCTATCTCCTTTTTGTGAGCTCTACTTCAGTCTTGCAGATAAAGATTCTCTGTTTCCAGTTTTAAAAATCCAAGGGATTAATATGCAAAACTAAACAGGTGAGTGGAAAAAAGCCAAGAAAGTGAAAGCCAAATCAAGAGAAGTAATATTTTTCAGTCACACATTTTACTTTTGTACTGTTGCAATTTTTGTTTAAGCATGCCAGTTTTTTCATCATTTGATGCCAATTCCTAAAAGGAAACTTTCATAACCACATGTGGAAGAGGTGTTTATTTAAAGGAGAAAAAAAGTTAGCTTGAGCATAAACACGATGATGATTGGTGGACCTTTTCCCCCTAAAGTCTTCCGTTTTTATTGACAGCAGTCACTAAAGTTTACTGCCGCTCATAAAGGGAAAAGAAGTCAAGATCATTGAAGCAGGCAAGAATTACCTGAGAGTGGGATGAGAAGGGTGATAAAATATTTAATTAGGGGGGAAAAGAGTACATTACAAAATAGGAGACTGAAGAACTAAAAGAAATCTGAATGAAGTCTAAAATGATAGTATGTGAACAGGAAAAGCAGTAGTTACCATTAGTAGTTACCATATGGAGCTAGAAGAAGGTGGAGAATATGTAGGATATTCCCTTTGGAAATATACATTTTTTTAATGCTTTTGACTTTTGGCACAACACTGGTCTTGCACATGATGCTGGCAGCTTCTTTCTGTCTTGAGCAGAAGTCACAGAGTACTCAGTAGAGTCACTATTGAAAGGTCTTTGAAAGTGGAGATCCTTGATAGTGTTTATTTTTCTAACTGCTGGACTTGCAGACAGAGTAGCATATGGTTAAAAGTAGATTCCCCTGGGAGCTGTGCATGGACATAGTAAATGTCAATCATCCTGGATGTTACTATCTGTTTACATTAAGAGAAGGAATCAATTTTTACGGATTGTCATAAACCAGAGAGATTTTTCTACATACATAGAAAAAGTTCTATTTCCCTCAGCGTTTTTTCTCTTCCTCTTTTATAACAGCATGAAACTACACAAAAATAAAGTTGGTAGCCTTGATGGGATAAAAATACTCTGGTTTAAATTGTAAGAGCTTAAGATATGAAATAATCATACATTTAAGCTCCTGTTCTTAAGTATGAGCAGAACTGATTTCACTGGCATCCAACATCAAGTTACTGAAAACTTTCAAGTGGTGTAATTCAGATGTGTTGTAGTAAATGTGACTTTTGCATTAAACACAATCCACACTTCTACGTTCGCATATCTAAGTTTCACTTTTGTTGAAATAAGTGCCTGAAGACTTTTTCTGAAACTAAGATTGAAACCTTTGGGTAGTCTTCTGTTTTTACACTTGTAGATTTCAAAATCAGTTTGGCATTGAGGATCACTTTGCTACTTATTATTGCTATTTAGCCAGTAATAATTAGTGATTGCACCCTTGTTCCTCCTTTAGTTGTGACTGTTCAATAGCCTCTATGTTCTGCTTGTTTTAGCACAGTAGTCTGTTACCACACTGTTAGAATAAAATTTCTCACTCTTAAGAACTCTAGTCTATATTAGATTGTTATCTAATTAATTGTGGTAGCTGACATGTTAATACTCATGTGAAGAGTAGAGAGCTAGAGAACAATGGAGTACGTAACAAGCCAATACATAAAGAGGCTTTACCCACAAAAATGCTAAATTTAATCCTGTCTCTATTTGATCTCTTCCATTCTTCCAAGCTCTGCTTGTGCCCTGCAAGAAAAAAAAAAAAAAAGAAATCGTCGTCAGTGGAGATATCTAGCATTGTCGTCGTTGAGGAGATATCTAGCAAACACACATGAACACATGCAGTGAAAAGAAGCTGACTGAGACAAATATTTATTGCAACAAACCCCTAACAGTTGGACAGCAATCATACATGGAGGAAAATAAAAAGGGAAAGTTATTGTGGAAGATGATAACAGATTTCAAACAGGTTCAGAAAAAGAATTTGGAGATTACCTTTTTGTCATATTGAAGAAATAAAAATACATGTACCACAATAATCTGTGTGTACCCCTTCATTTGAATGTCAATTTCATTTGACAGAATGTACCATGTGATCCCTCAGCTGAACTAAACCAAGCTTTCCATGAAAATTCTACAAGCAATTTTTAATAAGGATCAGAAAATTACTTTTTGAAGGTGCCAACCATTTTAATTTCAGAGAACAAAAGCATCTATTGTACTACTTCACTGAGAAAAATATCTTTTTTCACTTATATCTAGTCAATTGTCACCTCATATCCCTCAAAATGTATTATTATGATCTCAAGTTACTGTTGAATTTGTCCATTAACAATCTGTTAATTGTCCATCTGACTGGCCAACTAAGAAATTCAAATATCTACTCTATATATTGGGTTGAATATATGCATTAATTGTGCTACAGCTGCAGTAGCTAACTAGAAAATTTGCATCAAAGCTTTTACCCATACTCTTGCTGAAGTGCACTCCTAGAAGGTTTTCTGCTGAATACTTGAGATAAGATTTAAAGAAACAAAAAGATTATCAGAAAAGAATAAGGGAAGTAAATCTTGAGGACATATTATGAGGACAGTGACTGAGGTTACAGAAATCAGAGACTTTGGGTCAACTTTAAGGATTTTTCATTTTAATATAGATATTTTAAGTTTTCTTCAAAGCATGTTTTCTTTTATTTCACCACAGGAAATTGGGAAATTACTTGCCTTTAATCGCAAGGTAGGTAGGTAGGTGGGTGGGTAGGTACGTAGGTAGGTAGGTAGATAGATAGACAGACAGACAGACAGACAGATTTTTTTCATCAGTGCCCATTTAAGTTTGTAGACTCCTCTGGCTATGACCCAAGAGGCAGGTTCATCTGGGGAAGCCTGGAAAAACCCCTGTAGTTACACCAAGACAGGTGTTTTCTCTGCCACTCTGTGATTCCAGAAAAGAGATGTAACTCAAGCTTAGCTGTGAGGCTGTGAGGAGCTATATCACAGAAATCAATGTCTCCAAAGAGCAAGAGAAGCAAAAAAAAAAAAAAAAATTCTCTTTTTGTTTCCTTGAGAAAGGTGAAAAGTGCTCTGAAAGTTGGTTACATGCTGAATGTTGACCAAGTGAAGCATGAAAAGCAAATGGATGGCGCTGGTGAGAGAGCCAAGCTCCAAGCCCTAGCAACACTGCTGAATTCTGGCTGACCCCTGCAGAGGGGAAAGTAATCTCTTTCTCTTAGAACATAAGAACAAAGGTGCTCACAGAAAAGAAACCAGGGGAAGAAATGTAATGTCCTGTGTGCAGCAAAATAAGGAGAGTAAAATTCATCAAACAGCATTGCAGTTTTCTGCACAAAGGAAGCAAGCCAGTTCCAGAGGTCTGTGGGGTCTGGCACAAGGTGGGTTGCTGGGCTTTGCCTCACTATTAGTGCTTGGCTCCTGACAGAGCTCCCATGCAGCAGCACAGGGCTCTGTGAGCTCTGAGGTACTGATTTCTAAGGCACATTGGCAGTAGACTCAACTCACAATTCCATCCTAGATGTTTTTTTGAAAATAATGCCATGATCACAGAGGTCTCCAGCTGCTCACGCCAAGAGCAGGCACATATTTTAAAGGGGTGTTTTTGCATCAGTCATATGACAGAAATCAACTTTTTCTGGGATGAGTGGCTGTCTACAGAGATGCTCTACAGCTTGGCAGACCACCATGAGCTGGTAGAGGCATGGGCAGTGTCTAAGTGCCAAACTGAAAAAACCTCAGAGGGAAACCTGTCACACACCAAGTGAAGCTGGCTTTCCTTGCAGCTGGCATAATGGATGTTTTTCTCAGACATCCACAGATATTTTGCTTTCACTGGGTTGAAAACATGTATTATGAAAATATCTGTGTTCTGTTTGTGCTTAGTCAGATACAGTTAGGCAGCTTTGGCAGCTGTGAAGGCAAACACTAGTGACCTGGAGGATTTTTTTTCTGCAAAAAGCAAGCTGAGGAGCAGTTTTAAATCCCGGTAGGAAATGTTTGTTGCACAATGAGCGTAACTTCAGAAAGCAGCTGTCCTCCCACCGGCCGTGGAAGAGGCGGCTGCTGCTCTCATGGCCTGAAGTTTAACTAAGAGCTGCCCAAATGGAACCGCTGTCGGCGCATTGCTTCCTCCTGAGCCCCTTGTCCTTGTGTCCCCGCAGCAGCGAGAGCAGGATCTGGTGGGACCTGTCCCAGTGGTTGTTCTGCATCCCCGAGTGGGAGCCGGACATTTGTGTTCTGGTTTATGTCTAACAACTCCCACCGGACGCACTGTCCTGTCATCCCCAGGGCGCGCCGGGGATCAGGTCCGGGCAGGCAACAAACAGTTAATTTTTGGCACTTTTCTACACATTTGCGGAGAGAGATGCTGAGACGGGGATTCGTATTTCACACGTTCCCGGCGGCGCGGGGGAGGATGCACCAGCGCTGCTGCGTAGGGACTCGGCGCTGCGAGCGGTCCGGAATTCCCTCAGACCCCGCCGCCCCTCCCGCGCGGGCTCCGTCCAGCGGGGACACCGGGCCGGCTCCGCTCCGCCGCCGAGCGACCAGCGCCGTGCCCCGGCTGCGGCAGCGGGAAGGGCCCGGGGAAGCCACCCCCAGGGAGACGGGAACGCGGTGAGCGGGGGAACGGGACGGGGCGGCGACGGGTTGTGTATGGGGCAATAAATGTTCGAGCCGGCGGCAGTGGAGTCGCGTCCCGGGCCCCAGCGCAGCTCCCGAGGCGGCCCCGGCAGCGGCAGGTGAGGGGGGCGGGCCCCGAGCCCCCTGTCCCGGCCGAGCCTACTTTCCCTGGCCGAGTCCCCTTTTCCTTAGCCGAGCCCCCTGTCCCCGGCTGAGCCCCTTTTTCCCAGCCGAGTCTCCTTTCCCTGGCCGAGTCCCCCTTTCCCCAGCCGAGCCCCCTTTCCCCGGCCGAGTCCCCTGTCCTGGCCGAGCTCCCTTTTCTCCAGCCGAGCCCCCTTTCCATGGCCGAGCCCCCTTTCCCAGCCGATTCCCCCTTTCCCCAGCCGATTCCCCGTTTCCCGGGCGAGCCCCCTTCCCCAGCCAAGTCCCCTTTCCCCAGCCGATTCCCGTTTCCCCAGCAGAGCCCCCTTTCCCAGCCGAGCCTCCTTTCCCTGCGCCGCGGTCCCTCGGGAAGCTCCGGCCGGAGCGCCGGCGGCCGCCGCGGGTGCCTCCTGCCGGCCCATTGGGGCTTTTCGCAGGGAATTTCAGGGCGTTCTTCCCCCCTCTCCCGGGGTGGGTAGTGGGGAAATGCAGCGGGTTTGTGCTTCTTCTTTTCAGTTCCGAAGGGTTTGTTATTTTGAAACCTGAAGAGCGACCAGCAACCAAGGCAGTGAGAGTGTGGTCTCTCGACGGAATATAGTATCAGTCTGAAACAAAAAAAGTTGTCTGATAGGTTTTTTTTGAGGAAACAAGGGTTGGACAAAATCTCAGACTGATTCCACAGCCTTGGTTTGACCAACAGAACAGGTTCAAAAATTAATTCTTGATGCATCTTTTCTTTGCATCACCATGAGGCTCAATGTGTATCTTTTGTCCAGTAAGTTGGATGCATTTTAGAATAGCTAAGTTAATAGTTAATAAATTCTTAATAGTTTAAGAATAGTGTCAGTCTTTTTCCTGACCTCTTCTGCCTTGACTGTGAATGGTTTTGAAGATCTTCTTGCCACTTACTTTGATAAAGGTCACTAAAGATTTTTCTGCTGTACTGCCTCTGTGACATCTGTGTTGAGAACTAGAACTACAAGAACTGTATAAAGCTTGGTCCCAGTTAAAATATTTGTAGCAAAGGAGTTGTTTTCATGACTGTAGTGTCCAACAGGAAAGTCTGTGAACACTTCAGCTGTGCAAAACACAGCTCCCCTTCTCCCTCCCATCCTTCTACCGATGGAGCCATGCTTATGCTATGGCAGCAATTGCTGATATTTCTTACCTCCAGTTTCTGACCTTTGCCACAAGCAGGCTGACCTTCTCTCAGGGATTACTCCTCTGCTGGGGAGCTGTCTCTGTCCTCTCAGCCCTCTGCCCTGTACCATTCAGTGGGCTACCAGCTCATTTTAGGAGTCACTTAATGCTGTACATGCTTGTTGGTGTCACAGAATCAGCCAATTTCTTGTTGGTATCATCCCAGACAGCACTCAGTTTAGCCTGTACTCAGTAAAGGCTGTTAACTCTTTCAGGTAGGCTAAAAGCATTTTGATTCAATGAAAATTTCAGTTCTGTATTTCTGAGCAAGCAGAGAAAATTCACAGTAACTTGCAGAGCTGCCAAGCCATGAAATACAGAGCCCTGGCAAAGATTCTGAAGAGTTAGTTTATTTTTGGTCATGAAGACACAATTTATGATAAAAATTATGCTGCCAAATATTTTTCTAGCTCCCACTAACTTAAGGAATCAAGTATATACAGTTGAACAGAATTAGGTCTGTGAGAATCTTGTCTCATCTCCTAAATGCAACTTGCTGGTATCTGGAAGGAGGACCCTGATTCTGTATCTGTTACCTACCAATAAGGCTCTCTGGAAGATAAAACTATATGGATTTTTGGCAGCGAGGAGATGACTAAATGCAATTATGTATATTAAAATATGGCACTGATGAAAGGTGTTATGGCATATCCAGGGATGATTTTCAAAAGATGGTGTGTATGATCATATTTCCAAGCCCAGAGGTTTGGGAAAGGTCAGTGAATATCCATAGGGAAGCTGGAAAAGCAAGTTTAGGAGGAAGAACAAGGAATATGTATGTTTGTGTAGTATAGGTGTTCTAGAGAATTTTTCTGGATTTGAAACTTTCCTATTTACGTATCATGTTTTTCTCACTCTGTCCAAAAAAAACATGCTGAGGTTCTGGCTTCTATTATGCATCAGTTGTTGGAGAGCTCTTATGGGCAGCTGAATCCTCTTCATCTTTTGTCTGTCTTAACAGATTTACTTTTTTTTACTTTATATTTACTTAGTGGTATTGTCAAACCAATAACCTGTATCTCACTTGATTTGGGTGCCACATGAGGTGATGCAGAAAGCTGTCTGTGCTGTGAGGAACACCACAGAGTGCCTTGGGATGGAGAACAGCAGAAAAGACCTTCAGTTTGGCGAGCTGGCTCAAACACTTCTCCAGCACGCAGTGGCTTTCATAGAAGAGGTTTTTATATCTGAATACTTATGATAAAGCAGAAAAAAAAAAGAAAATAAAAAGACAATTATATTTTGACTGGTATCAGAGACAACTGATGCAAAATAGCTCTTATGAAAGTGCCTCTTTTAAAAAAAAGTAGCTATCCCATTTCTAATATAATCATCAGAGGTGACTTGTTGCTGGAGGCTTAGTTCTGTCTAGCATGTCGCTCTTCCTTTCTTTCTGTTGCCTTTTGCATAATGGATGTGACTGCTGTCATCTGAATTGTTTACTGCATGAAAGATATATTCTTCTTTGTGCTCCAGTCTCCAGAGCCATCCCCAGCCGAGCGCAAGGTGATGTACTTTTTGTCCAGTGCACGTCATGGTGAGGGATGAGTCACTTCCCCTGTGGGCAGCGATGACTGACTGCCTCTGCTGCCTGTGGAGCTGCCACACCAGAGCTGGGCACACGAGGAGTCACCACCTCCAATCAGCTCTCTGATGACGACACGATGTAAAAGCAGTTTATTAAGCTGCAAGATGAAAGACTTTTACAGCTCATAAAGGAGGAAAGCTCATAAGAAGGTAATAATAGAAGGAATATTTAATTTTGCATGAGTCTGACTAGAATTGTGCTGCTTCTGAAGTGTAAATCGGAAGAGATTTGTATACAAGATTTCACAATGTGTCACATTAGAATTATTAGGATTAAACTATAAAAACAATTTCTTGTATAAGATTTTCTTAAAGAAAAGCATCTTCTTTTAGTGTACATGTCATAAGACACTTAGAATTAGCACTAAGTAGAAAATGTTCAGGGTATTTTTTTTTGTTGTAAATGTTCTGGGACTAACATGAAGTATTTAGTTTTCAACTTTTCAACTGAGTCTGCATGAACACTTTGAAGAAAAAGGAGTGAGAGACTGAAACCAGACCAGACTCCTACCTTTGCAACAAAATTTCACTTAAAATGGCTTTGGAAACTCTGCATTATAGCAACAGTGGATTTACACTCATTACGAAAAGGCAACATCATGGATTAAAGGTTTTGTACTGTTCTTTCTTGCCCCCGAGTCATGCCTCTGGTCCTCATCTTGACTTTTTGGGTTTCTTTTCCAAAATTTTGAGAAGGTTTGACTCATCAAAGTAACATGTTTTTAAATGTGAATACTCCAGTCCCATGGAAAATTTTCTGATGTACGAATACAGGTCCAAATTTTGGCTGGAGGGTGAAGAATGTAGTGATTCATGTCCATAGCTCAGGCTTGGAAAAACCCAAATGTAAGACCAGGGAAGCCAAACAATTTTCACAGAGTTTTTTTAATTATCACTTCTGCATTTTTATGGAAGAAAATGAAGTTTCAGAGAGGGAATAAATGTGTGCCATTTATGCTGCAGTATTACAGCATAGTGACAGGAAGATGAGAAGCATTCTTTTTGTCTGCTAGCACTTTGTTAGGAGTGTTCAGGTTTCAGGCTGGTCATTATCTTTTCAGTTTGATCTTGAGAGGCAGCGGTTATGAATAGGGGCAGGGATAGAACCACAACTCCCCCGCCGAGACGGAAATCTCCTCCTGATTGAAGCCCATGACAAAACTCCCATCAACATCAAAGCAGAAAGATTCCAAGCACAGCAACCTGAATGCATCTGAAATCCACACTTGGGCAGCTTGGAAAGGTCAAGGTTTTTTCCAAAGATTAGTAGGAAAAAGAAAAAGACCCAGAGCAAATCATGACAAGCATAAAGAGAAGAGGAAGCTGACGACTAAGTTCACAGTTCATTGCTGAATCTGTACTTATTAAGGAAGCTAATTTTTGTGACAACTGATACAGGCATTCAGCTGGCTTAGGTGTTTCTGCTTCAAATGAGAATGGGATTACTTTTTTCCTTGGTTTGATGTTAGGGACACGAATATATAAGATTTGGGTGTAACAAGTGGTATCTGTAGCACTATTGTGGTTGTTTTCTTAACCAGCATATTCTGCAAAGGGAAGACAGAAATTCGCAGATTACCCGCTGAAGTTTGTATCTTACAACTTTCAATTTCCATGTGTTTGTGTTATTTTAAAAAACAAAGCAAAACAAAATATTTGTAATCACAAAGTGCTTAAAAATTAATTTTAAAATATTTTACAACTTTTTGCAAAGGAGAAACTAAAAGAGAAATAAAAGGTTTTGACATGAATTTACTGCTCGCTCAGTATATACAAAAGGAGTTTAATTCATAACTTTGGTATTTAAATCCAGTAGTTACATGTCATAACATGGCTTTAGTGTTCAAAAACAGAAAAATAACCCCTCCTAATGACATTTTTGCTCCTTTTTTCCATACTGGAGCAAATCCAAACCCTATCAGATTTATGAAGGCCGTGAAGGTTAAGGAGTTTATTGTGTTAAGGAAGCATAAATTACTTCATAAAGCCACAAATGAACTCGTTAAATTAATGTCTGCCTTATGAGTCTCCAGGGAGCACACAAGCAGGGTAAGGCATGCCCTCCTCATGGATGAGATGGGAACTGACCAGCATGACAGATGTCAGGAGGCTTTTAGGAGGGAAGGATGGGCTCTGGGAGAGCAGACTTCTGCTGCTCTGGAGCAGCTGCTGGTGCTCAGGGACAGGCTGGGACGGAAACTGAGCTTCAAGGTGCTGGAGAAGCTGTTTGTTACTCTATCAGGCCCTAATAAATTAGATTTTAGGAGAAGGATGATGGTTAAAACAGACCAATAGAAGTGTTGTGGTTTTCATCCTAGCTTCTCCATTTTATTTTTTGCCCACTTGCTTACCTGTTGCTTTGCCATTGTTACTCATTTATGCTGAGATTGCTCTTGTGCTGTTCATGTCTTCACTGTCAAAATAAGCTAAACTGCACCATGAGTTTGTAAGTAATGCAAAAGCAGACTTGCACCACTACTTTTCTTATTGCTTCCTTTTGTGTTATTTTCCAGTTTCTTCTTTGTAAGTCACTGGCACAGAAAGGAATCAGAGGGACACATTATGGATGTAGCAGCACACCTTTAGCTACACAGTGCCCTAAAACTGAGCTCATAGCAAGGGTTCATCTCCCTGAATTCTGAAACTCAAAGGTTATTTTTCAATTTTGATGTTTGACACTGAAAAATGTTTTAAATGATTTTGGTGCAACGAGTGCTTTTTAAAGTGTAATTATTCTGTCATATTGAAATATGAATTTTCAGGAATTTATATTTTGGGTTTATTAATTTCAAAGGTAAGACTTAAGCATTCTTTAGAGTAATCAAAATTTAGAATCAGTTGAAGCTATGCTTCCAGGGTACAAAATAGGGTTATTCTCTTGAATAGCCATTTAAATGTATTTTCAATAGATTGCCCTTCTCTGTTGCCTTGAGCATTTCATGTGAGCTAAGCTCATATCATAAAAGGCATCTTATTGTTTTTGATGAGACTAACACTAATGTCAAAGGATGGCATCAAAAAGAAGAGTGACACTAATTATTCAGATGTGACTTTCTTACCTGTAGAGACAGCAATAATATGGGCTGTGCTCCAGAGTGCTCACAGCTTAAGCAAACCTAAGATTTGATTTCAGTTTGGGAGTGACTGTGTACAGAGATGATTGATAATCAATTGTTGAATAACAGGTTTGTAATCCTGTCACAATAAAAAATGATCTGAAGGCTCTGGCCAGGGTCAGCTCCCTGCTCTGTGTCATGGCAGTGAAGCAGATGTGCCAGGCAGAGTAGTGTAAGTACTAAAAACTCAGCTAAAACTGAGGCAGAACTGATGAGTTGGCTTAAGTGAAAGGGAAAAAATAATCTGTGGAACAGAATGTAAGCTTTAATGCTCCATAAATATTTTATTAAAATGCTTTGCTGTGTATTAATAATTTCTCTATTTGTAAACACTGCCAAAGTGTAATAAAATATAGTATCAATTTCATATTTTAGGTTTATGTTAACTCTCATGTTTATTCAGAAAAACAAATTACCACATAACATTAAGAAATTAAATAGTAGAATGCAGATTTTTTCACTTCTGGAATAACTACAAGGAACCATTCAAAGGATCTTCAGCCAATGATTTTGAGAGGGTGTTTGGGCATGGTGTTGATTAATAAATACAGCTGAAATATGATCTGTGTCTTTATAAACAATCCTTTGGCTCTGTCTTCAGGATTTTTTTAAAATCTTATTCTAGTCAGAACTAAATTCTGAATTTCAGTGGCGTTCATCCTTAAAGTGCTTATAGGAATGGGGAAGAAGGGCTCTGTGCTGTCATGAGTTAGTATTCACTTTGAAATTCAGGGGCTGTTTTTGTATTTTGCAGACAAGGTTCTAATTCCAGGACACTGCTGCATGCAGTTGAATCAATGGTGGTCACAGCAGATTCCTGACACTGTGAGAAATCTTTCTGCTCTTCTGCTGCTGCATGGTCTTCATACGGACCTCCAAACTGAGCTGAACTTCTGCAAAGCAAGAAAAGACAACATTTTATTTAAAAATAAACAAGTAAGAGATTTCAGATATTTCTAAAAGCATCAAGGAGAGCTTTCTTTTGGATTTGGATAGCCTTTCTCTATGCACTTTGAAAAATGAGGCACCAAAACAACTTTATGTTGTTTTGTTTTTGCAAATAGTTTAGAGTGGTTTCCCAAAGTAAGCAGGGCTTGCATAAATTGCAAAAGAAAGACTGAGTTAAATAGAAGAGGAAGTTAATGTTAAGGGGTTAAACAGCTGTAAGGGATTCTGTTGTTGTCCATCTCTTCTAAATTTCTTCCCATGACATTTCTCACACTCTGGAGAAAATGAGTTTGAGAATGAAGTTTATATTCAGGAAATTATTGCCAAATTTGGCCATGACTCAGACAATGTTGATTAATGATAACAATCATAGCTTGCTACAAGCAAAATAGCTCTTTTAAATTTAAAATAATAGGCAAGGTTACTTACTTTCCAAATTGTTGGGAGCTGTGTTTAGTCCTCTTCTTTTTCCATGCTTGCTATTCACAGTGTTTTGATGCCATGATGCCAGGTGAGTGAGAATTGTGAAGAATCCAGTTCATTCCCCAGTTTTTAAACCTTTCTAAGGATTTCAGCCAGCATTTATCAGTCTTTATTTGGTAGTAGGCTTGGGACATATTTATTCATCAATTCTCTGAGTGTACTTGTAAGCTGTATATTTTTGACAGGCAACCATGATCTTCAACTGTTTTCTTCATCATTTGTAAAATTATAGTTTTAGTGTTGTCTGGGTTAAAAAAATATTGTTAATATCTTAAAAGCCAAAGAAAGCAGCTGTTACCCAGCATTTCAGGATGTTCTCAAGGAAATAGAAGATGGTAAGGGTTGAGTGAGTGAGACCTATACTTTTTGTTTATGTGTGTCATAAGTCACAACCTACTTGTTGCTCAGGTAGCTTCAAGTAAGGGTTGTAAACCACGTAAGTGCCTAATAAATAAATGTTACTTGATACACAGGATGCTATTTAAAAAGACATGGACCTAGTCTGTCTTTTAGCTGCTTAATAAACACTAAAATTACATTACAGATACTTTCAAACAGTTTTAGATTATTAAATTGAAGATAAGATGAATAAATAGTTGTCAGATAGGCATCAGACATACAGGCACTGTGAAGTTACATACAAAATAAGCTTCTTGTATAGAAATAAATTCTCTAGAAGCCATATAACCGTTCCAGGATAGGTTGCTGCTCCTTGCTCTGCTTTGTTGGTATAAGTTTGCTGCTTCTTTTCTTACCGCATCTCTTAATAGGTACTTCTGTTTGTGAATTTCAAAATGCTGGTAAGAGCTGCACAAGCCAAGAAAATATAGGCTTTGCAAACAAGCTGTGAATGACCTGCCTTGAGGCATTTTTTGTGGTCAATAAGCTTTCCCCATGCTTCCACTGAAACCAAGTGGACTGCTGGGGGCCTGAGCACTTGTAAACGCTGGCAAGCAAAGGCATTGTGTAGGGTTCACTGTTCTAGAGAATTTTGTTGGTCAGGAAGCAGGACAATTTCACATTATATATGCATGTGTACTATGTTTGATTCTGGGGGTGGGGAAACCCTCTTCTGCAAGTTTACTAAATGATAAACTCTAGAGAACTCATATTGACATTTCTGTATTTGTTGGCACAATATGTGCCACAGGAGAATTAGTACCCAAAAGCTATGGCAGTGTTATGTCAAACAGGTGAATAAATTTCCAATATCACTTTTACTGAGAGGAAGGAACTCTCTTTACTGTGTTGTTTTCTGAATGTTCACTGTACATACAGAAGGTGATACCTGAGTCAGTCTAGCTGGGCAGGTTGAGGATGATCTGGGAGCACTTCAAATGTAAGAATTGTATTATGAGATAATTACGAAAACTAGAAACATTAGACATAAAAATTTTAAAATATAATACATGTTGGAATTTTTGTTTATATATAAATTGAAAAGTAATTTTATGACTGATGCCATGACTACATTTTGAAAAGTAACTTTGAATTTTTTTTCTGTGGTTCATTTATTTACATTCTAGTCTAGATTGTATCTTTCACCAAAAATCTTTTCAAAGAAGAAACCTAAGAAGCATTAGAGTATGTGAAAACAGCTAAAACTACCTGAAAAAGTTTTAAGGATTTATTCTTTAATCACAGAAACATGTTGGAGAGTTACTTTGCCTGTGCCAAGGAATTTAAACCACGGGATTTCACATCTGAGATGTTGTTTTCCAGATTTGATATGTTCCCTAAAAGCTCACTGAAGATTGAGGTATGGCTTATTATCTCTGCTGTTGGATGAATACAGTATCTGAGAAATATCTGGGCTATTCTCAGCCATGCAGACAGCAAGGCTCAGGTTTCTAATATCCAGAACACAAAATCACAGTGCATAGAATTAAGAGTGTTGAACAGGATGAGAATGTCACATGCTGTGCAAGGAGCAGACTAGTAAGAGCATTATGAGGAATTGCAAGGGTGATTCCTAAATCCACCACTTAGGGTTTTGGAAGCTGCCTTAGTACAGTGCTGGTCTCCATATGCAGCCCATGGCTTGAGCTTTCTCCTGAGCATGGCACCTGCCTCTAAGGACTAAGGACTCATCTATTTATAGCTATAAAAATTGTAGTGTTTTAAGATAGTCCTTGGATGAGACAGAACATCCTTCATTTCTCTTTTTAAATCTCTGCCTTTAAGCAAGGGAAAATGAAAAATCTGAGGTCAGGAAAGAAATGCAGAATGTTTTCTGCACTATTGTGGTTAGCCAGCTGTGTAGGATGGGAGCAGCCATAGTTTTTGGTTCCTTCTCCTGGGGCTTTTTTATTGTTCTTTACTGAAACTGGAAGCAGTTGTAGTAGGAGACAGAACTGGCAGCTGATTGGAATTACAGAATCATAGAATAGTTTGAGTTTGAATGGAATTTTGAAGGTTACATAGTCCAATTCTCCTGTGATTAGCAGGAACATCTTCAACTAGATCAGGGTGCTCAGAGCCCCATGCAACCTGGTCTTGAGCATTTCCAGGGATGGGGCACGCCCACCTTCTTTGGGCAATCTCTTCAGTGTCTCACCACCCTTATGCTAAAAAAACCTTCTTCCTAATACTCAGTCTAAGTTTACTCTCTTTTAGTGTAAAACCATTATCCCTTGTCCTGCAGCAACAAGCCCTGCTTAAAAGTTTGTCCATATCTTTCTTATAAGTCCCCATTAAGTACTGAAAGGCACTGATAATGTGTCCTCAGAGTCTTCTCTTCTCCAGCCTGAACAATCCCAGTTCTCACAGCCTCTTCTCAGAGGAGAGGTGCTCCATCCCTCTAAGCATCTTTGTGGCCCTCTTCTGGACCCATGCCCTTCTAGGAAATGTGAGGCCAACTTTTGGGATCTAAGCTGAAAAATTATGTACTTCAGCTCTGCAATTATTGAGACAGTGTGCTGCTCCATGCCACCCCTTAAATTACTGTCTGAGAGCAAGAAAGCCAATCTTACAGCGTCTGACAGTGCCCACCAGCACAATCTGTGAAAGGGATTTGAGGCGAATGTGTTGGATCTTGGCTGACTGTCATGAGAACAGGCTGAGGTTCTTTTGGTGGGTGGGGGAGCTGTGGATACTTGGGAAGAGCATCCTGTGCCAGCAGTTTCACAAAGGTGGCAGCTCGTGCCCGTCAGAGACGTCGTGCACAGCCATTGCACGTGAAGTCAGCCCTGTGCCAGGGCTGAGGGGAGTCTGTACGTGACAGTGGTGAGACAAGGGGTCTGCAGTGACCAGGGGTCTGCTTGGGGAACTGCTGGCTGGTTTGCTCCTAGGAAGAATAGCTGTTCCGATTTCTAAACATACAAGGGAAAAATTATTTTCATCCCTTTGGGGCATAAAACAATTACTTCATTCGAGTGAAATCAGAGACCATAGAAATTAATTTGGCACTGTTACTAAAGAGGCTAAAGTGTGTTCAATTTTATTCCTCTGGGAAAGATTTAAGTTTAATTTTCATAGCAGCATTTTCTGTTACTATAATAAACCATGTGTTTATGCATGAAAGTACATGTTCAGGGGTGCTTGCTCTTTTTCATCTAGGTCTTTTTTAACTCAATCGGCTGAAGTTGAAATGGAGTTAAATGGGTATGCTCCATGGGGCAATTAATTTCGACTTGTGTTTTAATTCTGGAAGTGAATCAACCAGGATGAAGCCTTGCTGGAAAAATCTGTTGCTCCTTCACCTTTTCATTCATAGAAATTACTTAAGATAGCACAGGCTTAACTGCTCATTCTGCTAAACCAGAAGGGAAAAGATCAAATTGCAAAGACTATCTCAAGCATAGGTTTGTTACTGACATTTTTGTAGGGGTTAATTAATTTTTATTCCTTTGATCGAGGAAATTTCCATCATTATGTTGCAATTTCAAAAACTGAAAAAACTGTTTTTGAGTGGACTCAAGGGGCATAGTTCAAGTGAGCAGAATTACTGAATAGTTTCTGGAAAGCTCTTCAGAAAGATAATATACAATCCTTTAGGTTATAGCAATATGTTAACATTGTACCATTGTACCATTATTTCCTTATTTATTCAAAGTATCTGTAAACTTGGAGTTTTGACTCTGGGAATGTTATAGTGCTGAATTGAACTAGAGAGGCATGAGACAGGCTTTCAATGCAGCTGGGTACAGTGTCTACCATTTGTTCTTTAAAACAGAAATTAATTTTCTTAAGGTTAGATTTGTGGATGCATTTTCCTGATCAGGTGTCACGTGTGGAGACACATTCAGATGGCTTTTGCCAAAGATTTTGAGTGAATAAACTAAATTTTAGTGAATAAAATAAATTTGGATAAAGTAAAACAAAATATCCCAGCAACATTGCCCAAAATCTAAAAAGAAAAAAAAAGATAAAAGGTCAATTTTTCACATATAATATTTAGAACTGTCAGTTCTGTAAGCTTTTTTTCCTGAGTGTTAAGATGCAATTTACATGCAGTTCTGGTGCAGATACAAAATCAGTTGATTCTACTTAAAAGATAGAGAATGTTTTAAAAATATTGGTTTATAGAAGTGTCTTGCAATAAAAGCTAAAATAACACTATGCTTACCAGCAGTCATGGTATATCTTTAAAATAAAGCAGAATATTTATTACTGTACTTTTTAAGACACCTTTTCTTGTAATTTTCAAGATTTTGGTGTTAGTTCATTGTATAAATATCTATGAACTTGTAAAATTAGGTTTTTGGAAGGATTTAATCTCCTTTTAACACAAATTCAAACAAAGAAGTACTCTATCATATTATGTAGTTGGCTTTACTGCCTGCTGGCTAGAGCACTTAGCTGGCAGGAGGGCAGCCAAATTCTGTCTCCTTCGTTTGTACCCTGCAGCTTTGTGGAGCAGGGAGGTATTGATTAAATTCTCCTTGAAGAGGACGCTGGTGAAGCCCAGGTGTGTCCAGCTCCAGGTGCAGATGTAATGGGTGCCCTGGGATGACTCTCTTCTCTACTATCTTGATCCAGAAGAGGATTCTCCTGGCTGTGTCCCTGCCATTTCCCTGTGCTCCTGGC